CGAGGGATTCGCAAGTGCAAGTAGTCGATGCACCGCCTTCTGTTAGTTTAAAAGCTACCTCGTCTCTTCGGATTCCCCGCAGGTGTTATAGTTTGTCTATGGAAGGGAATCCTTAAATATAGAATAAACAACAATTTTTTTTTTATAGGTAGGTACTGAGTAATTCGTATAGTTGTAAAAAAATAAATGGCTTGGAAATGACGACTATTGACATTTACCATTATATTTTACAAGTGAAATAACAGCGATCTTCATTTCCAAGTCAACTCTGATGCCGTTCTTTGCTAAATCATATAACATTTATTAAAATGTTTAATGATAGAAAATCCGTATTAATTACGTACTCTACCCAAAATCCGTAGAACTACGGATTAATTAATCCGTTGTTCTGGCAACACTGTCTCCGGCAACCACCCACTCTGTCGACTGAAAGCAGAATTACTGTTTAGTATTTTTTATCCGCTGCGCTATAAACGACTATCAGCGGGCAGCGGCACAGAGCTAAACTAAATCTCGGACATGTAACGGTAACGCCAGCTACATTTCGAACAGGTTTTGTGTCACAAAATCGCCCATACGGTTGCGAATCTTCTTATTTCTTCAAATTTGCTGCATTTGAAATAGTTAAAACATTATTTGTGACGTTTGAAAAAATAGCATGTATTCTATTCGGAGTAAAAATGTACTTTTTGTGCCTCGCCTGTAACGTCCGTCAAACGTACACCCTCTACAAAAAGTATCATTTATATTCCTAATAAAACAATATTATACTATTATTATATTGTTTGCTCATCAAGATACATTCTATCAACTTAAACCTTTTTAAATTGAATTATTTGCAGACCCATCATCACTTTAATGTTTGACATTTCTTTGGGGAGTGGCTTTATAATCTATAAAAAAACATTCCTTATTACTTAATTCTTTTATCTCAAATTTATTTGAAACACACACAACTTTTATAACAAAGTAAAATAATAATTACATATTACAAATACTTTATTATAGCTTTCTTATAAATAAGTAGGAATTTTAAAAAATAACATATAATAATTAGGCATTGTTTGTCGCATTATCCATGTAAATATATATACAATTTTTATTATAGAAAATTTTCTACCTATTAAAAATTTTCAATTTTAATCAAAATCGTACTTCAGAACCTCAAAAATACCAACAGGGAAGTTAATATGATTCATTTAGGGCTTTTGACCACTTTTTCGACTAAATTCGTCATGTCCCACACGATGTGTTAGATACCTTCCAACATTGGTGTGTGACACTGTGTGAACATTGGTGCGCTTTAGTGAACATGTACGTACTTTTTTAACGCTTCTTCTGACAGACTCACAAACAGGGGCGCAAACTACCGTTAATCAAAAATAAAAATCTCAATTTTCCAATGATATAATTTTCCCCTCTGGTAAAATAGAGGTGAATTTTACTAAAAATAGTCCTAATTTGTACTACCTACATTTTACATGGGAAAGAAAGAGAAAGAATAAGGTAAAGTATTTTTCTTTTTAATATGTGTATGTAAATGAATTTCCCAATAATGAACCAGGAATACAAAAAAGTGTAATAACTGGCATGGCCGTTTGAACATTAATCCAATATGGATGAAATACCTACATAATATATGCACTTCCTAGTAAATGTAAATAAGTTATTGGTAAGAAGTGGATTACTGGATTCCCAAGATAATTATGTCTGCGGAGAAAACTTTTCTGTGAGATGTAAATATGATAGGCCCTAAAAAATTATGCGCCATTAAAATTTTATGTATTTTCAACAATTAATTTTAAAATAAATCGTTATTTTCAAGGTTCTAACCTAACTTTTTTTCAGCTAACTTCCTTGGTACACTTTTAAGTAGGATTTATAAACTCACAGTTGGATTTGGCTTTGGCTTTGGCGCCGCCGCCCAATTCTTAAAACTGTATATTACCATAAGAGCATTTTTATAAACACGGTTGGCTTTGGCTTTGGCGCCCGGTTGCCGTCGGACTTCTATTATGTTTAACTCACAGAACACACTAAAGAAGAACGCTAACTCCCATGCATTTTTTAGTTTCAAAACGGTTTCAAATTTGTAAAGAAATCTGTAATCTGTATATTGAAGTGGCGCCATCTAGCCACCCAGGAAAGTAACAAATGTGGCGGCAAATTTAAATAGATGCAATTTATTTTTAAGAAGACGTATTGACTTGTTCGCCAGTTAGAGCCAATCAGATTTCTACAAAATAATATGTAGTCATCTGATTGGTCCCAAGTTGGCAAACAAGTCAAATGGTAAAAACAAGGCTTTATATATAAAGGTTAAACCAGGTTAAACTATTGTAAAGTGTTAAATGGTTTGCTTATATCATTTTATGTGCATAAAAACCTATAATAAATAATTTATTTTAATTTACAGAAAATTATACCATGAAACATTTTACAAACAAATAAAACAACAGATTAAAAAGTATAATATTTATTATAGTACCAGATTTAAGAACACAACAAATATCGTTGGAATACAAGAGAAAGTGACGTCCATTAGAAACAATGTTTTATTTACATGTATTTTTTACATATAGACTTGAACAATTGTGTAATATCACATTGTGGAGTTTATGTACAAAAATATGGAGTTGATCAATTTTTTTTTGTAAAAATATATGGCGTTGTAAATACTACATTGTTAAAAAATAAAATTCACGAACATTTGGACTTGGTTAGGTTACCTCACTTTCTCGGATTATTAAATAAAATTGTTAGATAAATCAAAGACCTTTAACTTAAACCTGACCTTTAATAAAGATCTTAAAAATCAAACACAAAACAAAGTTCAAAAAAATTAAAAAATACAAAATCACGATTGTAAAATGAAGATTGCAAAAAACACAGCCAAACAACCAGAAAACAGCGAAACGCACATCTCCGTTCAATTGCAAAACACAACTGAAGAGGAAGGAGGAAGCCGGAAACGGAAAACTGATTTGACATACAGAACAATGACAGAACATAATTAATAGGCTTATTTAGGCAACTACAAAAACAATTTTATACGCAATTGTTAGGCAACTAGAAAAATTAGAATAAAAATACGCCATCTAGCGCCCCAGGAAATTACTAGCCCAAAAACAGATCGTTTAAGGTCGTATATCTCAGTTGACTGGCCCTGGTTTAAATTTTTACCGCTCGAGGCGATTCGCCGTCCGTAGCATCACGTAGCAATGACGTCACAGCCAATAGAATAGTAAAGAGCGATCACGTGCGTGAAATATGGGAATTTCAAATTTAGCGTGGGCACGGCTGGCGTGGGTACCGTATGCCGTATACCGTAGAGTACGACCATTTTATCTCGTGATCTCTGTGTATGAAGTTGTGTTTTTTGTGTTCCTGAGTTCCTTGTGTTTCTTTTTTACCAATATTTTAATAATGGAAGTTGACAATTCTGATGTGGATGGAGGAGAAAGACAATGTAAACAAATGGTATAAAAATATATACTTTGGTTATTGTATTTCTATTTAATTTATAGCTCAAAATTTGTTGGCTGAAATTGATGTGGGCCTATTCATAGAGACAATTCAGTCCTATGAATATTTATAAAATATGACCCACAAGGACTACAAAAACCTGAAAAAAAAGAATTTGGCATAGTCAGAAATTGGCCTTATCAACAATGTTGCTGGTAAGCTTTGTTTAGTTTTATATACCTACATTACCTAAAAAAAACATTTTATTCTAGCTGAAAAATGTCCAAAGATGTGGAAGCTCCTTCGTGACCGGTTTGTGAAGGAAAATAATAAATGTACTTCGGGGTCTGGGGCCCCAGATTCCAATGGGTGTATTTTCATCACATGCTATTTTATGAAAAATATACAAGACCCAGAAAGTAATTATACTTATTTATGTAAACATTTACAAATAATACAAAAAATATTTTATTTTTAGAACATTTACAAGTACTAAACTGAAAACCATATCAACTTCGATGCAGCCCCAGCCATCCACCTCTGCACAGAGCAGTAGTCGATCAAACTCTGCCTGCTCTGTGTGGTCAACCACTCTAGAAAATCAAATATTCTCTCCAGAGAGTGCAGAGATTGAGCTGGAGTATGAAGTACCAGTCTCCAGAGAAGTACCAGTATCCAGAGAACCTCAAAAGGAACCAGAAATTGCCATTGTAAACACCCCTAGCTCGTCAAATCGTAAGTTTTTTTTCTTGTGTTTTAGTAGCAATATGTAATAAAACTATGGTGTGGTAAAAATGTTAATAATTATCAACATTGTTACTTTCAGCTAAAGCTGGAAAAAGAAAGGGAAGGGAGGGAGACGAATTTTTAAATGTGGCGAAAAGAATCTGTGAAACATTAGATATCCAGAGGGCCAAAGGATCCGAGCAAAAGGATGCTAACAGAACATTTGCTGAGTATGCCTACTCGAGGCTGGCTGAAATGCCAGCAGATGAAGCAAAAAGAAAAAGGAGAAAAATGTTATTAATTTTAGAGGATGACGAATAGTTATAAGTTTAGTTCGTTATTTTGTTACTCTAGTTCATTTTATAGTTATAGTTTATTAAATAGTTTTATATCTTTATTTTGGTTTTATTATTCATCTCACTTGCCCTGATATAAATATATTTTTGTCTGCCACTTATACTTTAAAACATTAAAATTAAACACAGTTTATAAAAATAATTTATTTAATAAAATAAAAATTACTAATCATAACTACCTATATTAACTATAAATTATTGCAATTCAAAAGACCTAGGTAAATTAACAAAAAAAATTAATAGCGTTCTTTATTTAAAGAAAAAAAAATGTTTTATACAAAATTATTGACTAAAAAGGTTTATTGTATTATAATAGAGGTGTTAGGTAACCACATAAATATAATAATAATTATTAAAAAGCCTATAGATATATAATATATACAGTGTGTCCAACAAACTTAACTATTAAAAAAAACATACTACAAATAATTTAAAGATATACATAAATCAAACTTAATTTAATAATAAGCCACTGTCAATAATTTGTTCCTGCCAAGAAACTTTTCCCACATCTGAAACCAAATAATCGGCTAAAATGTTTCTATTTTCGTAGAACTCTCTACGGGACACATTAGTAGATAATCTACCAACAGAAGTTAGAGAAGTCTGCTCATCTCTCCAACCGCCATTTGTCATTCCTTCGGTGTCAACATAGTTTGGTGGACAGTAGTCATGTGACAGCTCTGTTTGGCAATAGTTGTGAAGAACAACCACTGCCTTGACAATATTGTCAACATTTTCTACTTTTGCATTTATGTTGGTTTTTAAAATTCGCCAACGTGCTGCAAAAATTCCAAAAGTGTTTTCAATTAGCTGACGTGCCCTTGACAACCGATAATTAACAATTCTTTGTATTCTTGATAAATTTTTTCCTGGGTATGGCCTCATTATAACTTTTTTTAGAGGAAATGCCTCATCAGCCACAAAAAATAAGGCATTTGAACATTTAAAAATGGCAAATTGCTGATTTTGGGTACATGCATGTCATCCTCCTCTAACCTTTGTCCAAACACACTATTTTTAAAAACACTCCCATCACTGCTAGAACCATAAGCACCAATGTCCACTAATGTAAATTTATATGCACTATCACAGGCTGCCAAAAGCACAATGCTAAAGTTTTTTTTGTAGTTAAAATACAATGAACCACTTTTAGCCGGTGCTTTAATATTGATGTGCTTCCCATCCAGGGCCCCTATGCAATTTGGAAAGTTCCACCTACTCCAAAAACCATCACTAATATCTTTCCACTCTTTTTCAGTGTTAGGACTTTTTAAATAAATAGGACTAATAAATAGAACATTCCATAGTACCTGGCAAGTTTCATTCACAATGCAGTGAACAGTTGCATGTCCAACATGAAAATTCCAAGTCAAAGCTTGCATGCATGTGCCCTGAGATAAATATCTAAAAAAATATATAGGTATTATGATATGTTTATTGTTTGAAAAATAATGGGTCTTACTGCAGTGTTATCACTAATCTTTCCTCTGAGGAGATTCCATCAGATCTTACTTGTCTTTCTATGTGGTGTTTTATTTTTTGCAAGAGTTTCTCAAAAGCAGCAACGTTCGTTCGGGTGTATTTGAAGAATTGATCTTTATCCCAAGATTTCATGTTCTTGTAGTACTGAAATCCTCCCATTCTCCTTCTGGTCCTATTAATAGGCCTCACTTTAAACTGCCGACGACGTGTATTTATTTTGTGGTACGCATACATGCATAACGTCACTCCCAATAACCCTAATAGGGTAGTTTCATCAAGACCATTACTTTCCAAATCCATAATTAAAAATCTCGAACCAAAAACCAAAACTTTAAACACTTTCGTCTCTAAAAACGCACTATAGACTCTGCTACTCTCAAGTAAAAAGTAAACAAAAATGTAAGGTTAGATCTGCCCAAAACGGCCAAAGCATATACGTATTACTTTCTACAAATATACTCAGCCTAATCTCCAAAAAGTGAAGCCCAAACAGTGAAAGAACAATATGGAATTCTGCATAAGTCTATTTCACCCGGATATTCATTTAACTGAGCATGCCTCACCTGAAGAAGTTTTCATTGGTCGATGTTTTTAAAGGGAAGTGGTTGACTGACATTTCCCCTAACCTTCAATTTTATTTATATTTTTATTATTTTTATAACACATTATCATGGAGTTGGAAAAATATCAAAAAATAGTTGAAAACAATAAAGTAAACAAAATCACTCTTTTACGCGCACAAATAAAAAGTAATCCAAACAGAACTAAAACAACAATCAATCGGAGTTTGGCGCAATCGCAGTTCAATCCATATCCGGGTGAAATAGACTTATGTTGTCTTTTTCTTATGGCACAGAAATTGCACACGGGGTTAAATAGGGAACCCTGAGTATATTTGTAAAAAGTAATACGTATAAGGGCGAAAGCCAACTGTCAACCGTCGAGTTTATAAATGAGATTTTGCGGCGCTACGAACGGTCGACGGCAAATCCAAAACCAACTGTAGAGTTTATAAATCGACCTTTAAAGTTATTAATTAGTTAATTTAACTCTTGGTAGGTTAGTATTATTCATAAACGTATGTTTATTTTTCTCAATAATTTAGACCTTAGAACAATATACAAAAAAATATTTTTTGAAACAAATTGGATAAGAAAATGGCCGCTAATGGTGTTTTTAACTATTCGTCTATGAAGTTAGGTTTTCCATAATTTTAAAACCTTAAAGACCGCTTTCTTTGATTGAGGTTAAGATTTCTTTAAATTAATAACCTCAAAGGTTAAAATTTCTTGCTCAAGGTATTTTTCCTTCGAGGTGCAAGTTAAAAAATGGGCTATATTAGGTCGAAGCTCATTTCTCGAAGTCCTAACTACATTGTTGGAGTATCGCCGGTAAAACAGAAATCTTTTATTTTCTTTGAGTGACAGTTGACAATGATATTTTATGCTAACTTCGGTAATTACATCTTCGAGCAATCCGATTAACTTTTCACAGTAATCACAGAGAAGAACAATGTAATGATGTGTCCTAAAATGAGAATCTTTATTGAGAGTCACATGACATGTCAAATTTTTATCGTTTTGCTGGCCGATGTAATTGCCGAACTGGCCTAAACTAGAAAACTAAATTAGTTTTCTTTGCTTATTATTTTTAAAAGTTTTGTGTTTTGGGATTTTGAGTATTATTACAGAGGACTTTTTGTTTTTAATGCACATAATGGCCACGTTTAAGATTGTGGCGGTAATAAAAAAGAAACGCATTGAATATTCTTTCGTTCCCAACCAGTGGGAACAAGGTAATGTGCTATGACGTAATAATCCCTCAAAAAATTTTTTAAACGGAAATCACCCCGAGCCGTAATTCTGACTTTCGTCGAAGTCAAAAAACTAAGGTACTTCTACCTTTGAAGCACAATAGCGACTTTGAGGTCGAAATAAATTAAATTTTCAACCTAATTTGAACTCCTCCAAATAAGGTCTAATTTAAAGTTATTAACAACTAAATTTTAACCTAACTTGAAAACCAAACAATGCCTTCGACCCCCGAGACAAATTTGAGGTTATAATAAAGTAATATGTGACCTACTTTAAGTCCCTGTAGTCTTAAAGCCCTCAATAGGTTATCAGTAACTAGATTTTAACAATGCCAGCTAACTCCAACGTCGCTACTTTTCAAAGGCATAATTTTAGGTTATTATTAACTAGTTTACGACCTCATTTTTAGATTTCTCGCACTTTATTCCCTACAAGAAATTTATTAAGTTAAGTATAAGTAAAATTCAACCAAATAGTGGTTAAGTTTCCGTGGTCAATGGTTTTTTCACCTTCCGCTACTTGGGAGGACGTCGGTTGCAGCTCTCAATCAGTTAATGACTAGAACTCTAGAAAAACAATATTTATAGATAAATCGGCCAAGAGAAATCGCTGTAATTTATTTGGCAATTAGGATGAATCGACTTTACTCACCTTAGTGTCGCAAACAAGTGCCTTTTATGCTCTACCAGTAGAGTAGTAAACTGTCCCATAGTGACTTTGTTAGTGGTCATTAAATGTATTTTATTTCGGAATTCCATTCTTCAATAATGCCGATTTTCTAAAAAAATGAAATGATGTGCTATGACTATCACAATTTATTTAGTAGTTTAAGAAAATCATTCAATAGTGAATTAAATCCAGAACAGGTATTTTTTCAGTTGACATTTTGTATTATTTTTATAGCATAATTTTTTTCAGGAAAGAATATATTTATCTATCTCTATAAAATTGTTTTCCGTCATAATGCTGTATATCCTTAACGTAAATAGTGTAAATCAAATACCAGTATCATTTTTAAAAACACATTTTATGACTATTTAGCAAAATTTACAATCATATTTCAATTAAGAAACAACAAACCGTTGTTGTAGACTTCAGGGGAGTTTGCCCTTTTAAAATAAACCAGACAGGTGCTGATTTTGGATGCCCCCGTATTTTTTTATCTATTATCAATCTCCCTTAAACGGACCAGTCAAGTGCACACACAAGGTCCTGTCTATCGACTCGACCCTTTCGTTTTTGATTCGTCACTTCCTGTTGCATTTTTCATTTTATAATATACAGATAGAATAGGGAGATATTGGACTCATATACGTTAACGCTGTACGTTAACGTCACGATAATTGCAAAATAAAACACTAATTCACAACCCAGTACACCAAAACATTTTACTTTTAGTACTAGACGCGCGTCTTGCTAACCATGCTAACGTCATTGGCAGGTGACTAAAACTTTTAATCGTTAGCGAAACGCACGTCCAGTGTTAAAAGTAATAGTGTTTTGTGGAGAATTAGTGTTTTATTTTTCTATGGTAACACAAAAGATTCCAACCCCAACTGTCTTCTTCAATGGCTGCACTGTCTTCGAAAATGAATTTTTATCGTATAAGTTTAGTAGTGAGACTTGGTTAATTATCGTCATTTTCAGCTTATTCAACCATTTCCAATTATGGTGTAGCTTCCCTCTCATATGTTGATAATCTCTTTGTAGTTGGGCCCATTGTTGTCTATTGTTAGCTCTGCGGGTCCAAATTATCCCTGCTAATTTCCTAATATCATGACCTCCATCTCAGGTTTGGTCTTCTTCTAGGTATCCTAATTTCTCGTGGGTACCATACTATAATTTTTGTGGTCCATCTGTTGTCCGTCCTTCTTGTCAAGTATTCTGTCCATTGCCACTATGATAACATTTATTATTTGGGTCTTTTGTCGTATCCACTCTATTCTTTTACGGTCTTTCTTGGTTATTCCCAGCTTATTTCGTTCCGTTGAGTGTTGTACGACAGTATAATGCAGTGTAATGGCCGCTTATAATACTGCAGTATAATGGCCGCTTTAAGTGTCGAAGTTTTGCATGCATAGGTCATTACTAATAGTACACACTTGTCTAATGTCTTCTTCTTTAGATAAAGTGGCATTCTAGATTTGAATATGATTGAGTTTCTTCCATAAGTACTCCATGCTAACTTAATTCTTCTGTTGATTTCATAGATTCATTTTAACAGAGATCCTGAGCTGTGTATTAGAGTTGTCCCAAGTATATATATTCTTCTACTATTTCCAGTGTTGTGTTTTTTTATTAAATGTCTTTTGACAAGACTACCTGTTCGTTGTACATTACTTTAGTTTTTGCTAAATTCATTTCAAGACATACTTTATTGCTGGCTGTATTTAGTTCATTAATTTGTGCTTGTAGTTCTTCAGGACTCTTGGCAATTAAGAATTAAGACTATGTCATCAGCGAATCTTAGATGGTTAAGATATTCTCCCTCGATTTTGAATTCTTTGCTGGTCCAGTCCAGTTGACGGAAGATTTCTTCTAGTGTTGCTGTATACTGCTTGTATGTTGTGTTTGGTTAATAGTACCATATATTCGATTTATGAAATCATGCAAAGCCAATTCAGTTTCTCCTCTTCAGTTTTGTTAAAATAAACATTCCGAAAAGCAATATAAGTAATAAGGTAGAAAAGTAAGTAAGTAGAGAACTTACGAGAATATAAATCATATTTCTGATACAGTGAGTGAAATATGCTTGCGATTCAAGCCTACAGACTTAATTTTAATACAAAAATTACGTATAATCTCAGTAATATAGAATTTGAATGTTAGTGTTTTTTTTTTCATCCACATGTGTTAGTGGCAATCAATTCAAAATTTGAACTTTAATCATCTGCCTGATGTTACTAACATGGTAAGCAAAACGCGCGTCTAGTGTTAAAAGTAAAATATTTTGATGTATTCTGGTGAATTAGTGATTTAATTTGCTGTTGGAACACCAAATGTTCCAACTGTATTGTTATGATAATTGATCATTTATTAGATAGTACTGTAAAGCCATAGAGCAATGAAACTTATGAAAAATGTATGCATTCGCATTATTTGATGATGCATCAACATTCAACATATCGATAATATTTTTTTATTAAAGCTCTTTATGAAACGCTGTTCTGTAGAGCACAGAAGATTTATTTGAGACAGAGTTTACCAAAAATGTTTTATACCTACTACTGGGAAATTAATTTGTAGATAGAGTATGACTTTTTTTGAAACTTTCGTTTCGGAGATATAAATTTAATCAGACCTTTTAAAAAAAAATTTTTTTCGATACTATTTGAGTCATATTTTACCAAAAATGTTTTTTATACCTACTACTGGGTAAATGAATTTGTAGATATAGTATGACTTTTTTTGAAACTTTAGTTTCAGAGATATAAATCTAATCGGACCTTTTTGGAATTTCATTCCAAAAGAAAATTAACTACTTAATTACTAAAAAGATTTTACCAACTAAAAAACGATCTATGACTATAACTAAATTTTAAAACTTTAAAAATAAAGGACCACTGCTCACTTCTCTCAGTATATAAGCGATAACTCTCTAATAACTTTTGTTTGTTGTAATAACTGTTGCCGGTAGATGTCAGGGTTGATAATGAGAGGAAATTTGTTCTGACAGGAATTATAAATAAAGGGTGTAAGGTCTCGAAAAAAATTAGGATAATATTTTGATAAGGCAAGGTGGACTCGAAGGGCGTAAAGGCCTATAGATAGTGATCGATATTATTTAGTTAAAAATAAAGCTAAAATTACAACATTATCGGTTGCTTTGGATATTATTTAAATAAAATGGAAAAAAAGTTTCTATAAATAATTATTTTCTTGAAAAAAAACCTGTGTACTTCGCCACTGAAACAGAAATCTAAATTATAGAAGTATGAATATTTTTGAAAAATATTACTAATTTAGAACCCAAATAGATTCCAGCTTGTCAGTAGCATTTTATTTGTAAAGAAATTTGCATAACCAACAAAAAATGTTTTACTTTTCAGAGGATATCTTTCCCTGTCATCAGAAGCAAAAAAAACTATAAAAAAATAATATTTCGAACTGCAACTACATTAAGAACACTTTGGTTTTTATAGTACCGAAACATCTACTAAAACGCCAGATTACACGTAATGTGAGTTCCAGAACAGCCATTACATTTTATATGCAATTTTAAACATATATAAAAGATTCAGCTGCTCCAACCTATTAATTGGACATTTAAAGAAAGACCACATAAGGAAACATACAAAATTTCGGAATTTCTTTGATATCTCTATAGGTATTAATTTTCTATCAACTGTCAATAAATAAGAACTAAAAAGGAAATAATGAAAAGGAGAGTTCGAAAATTTTGTTCAAAGGTGATGCCGCCTATTGCACATTATTCAAAACACCTAATTTAGCTGTGTGTGGCCTTAAGGCGCTAACCACAGAGTGATAAAAAACTAGAAACAAGATTCGTTTGAAATCACTGCTTGTTCAATACTAGCTGGTTAGCATTGTTTCAGTAACGTTTTGTGTGATATATTTTATAAAATCTCATGACGAATTGGACTATTTTCGTACGCATGCCAACAGTCAGAGCACCAGATCGGTTTAGAAAATGCAGCTTCAATGGAGCTCAAAACTAAACTTATTACTTAACTTTACTGAATATCTGGTAGGTACACAGATTTGCATGCAAGTGAAACTAACAAGTTTCTCTTGCTGACAATTTCAATACAATGACGGTATGGTCGCTTTATTTATTTAAACAAAAATATATCTAAATCGAGTGACGAGGAAATAGCAAGAAAATGAAATGAACGCTGAGAATGAAAATAAGTCACGAGCGAGACTGGTCTTGGTCTTGGTCTTGCTCAACAATCAAGACCACCCCAAGGCTAGAGTTAGATCTGTAAGACCAAGACCGACCAGTGCAAGACTTACACAGAACCAAGACCCAGCGTGGAAGACTTACGGTCTTGTGGTCTTGCATTTTTTTCACTTTTTTATTTACATCTCATTCTTCATAGATCATAATTAAAACAAAACTAACGAAGTTTTTATTTAAGTAGTCATTGGGCCACTTGAGCCAGACAGACAGCCAGATATCCGATATGGATAAATAGGAGTGTGATGTAAATCAGGTAAGAACAGTTAAAATACGCTAATAAACAAGAATAAACAGGTTAGAACCACTTTGAACCGTTTTTGAACTGCTTTGAACCGCTTTTAGCTTAAAAGCTTAGCTTTTAGATTATTAGCATAAAGTACGGAAGCCCGATCACCATTCAGACCAAGTGATTGTATTTAATTAATGAAGGACATGCTATTAGGAGATGTTGCACTGTTGGTTTTAAAAGAAAAGAATGCGAGAAATAGCAATGGCCTAATCTGAGCCGATTCCAAATAATAATAATAATAATAAGCTTTATTCATAACTATATGGAGATACATTATGAAAGGGCGAAAGTGCAGTCTTGCTATTAAATCTAACCAGACTGTTTTTACACTCAACCCAAAAAAAAACAACAAAAAATATATACATATATACATATACACACGCCTTATCAATAAATATCTAAATCAAAATAGTTATTAAATTATTTTCTAACATTGCCAAAATCTGCTAAACAAAAATTATATTTTTTCTTTCGACATTAATATAATAGCATTGCTTAATATTTCTAGTAATATAATTATACTTAATGCAACAATAGAATTTGCTATCAATCCTACCAATATCTAATTAAACAGTTAAACAAGATATATCCATAATAAGGGCTAGTTTATTTGTGAGAGATGCTCTTTTAATAATCTTCTGAATACATATAGTGACGTTGCAGATGTTATCATACGAGGTAATGAGTTAAATATCCTGACTATATTATATGAGAAGGAACGCTTGAAAATTGTCAGTCTATAGGTAGGAGAAGTGAGATTACCTTTAAATCTCAAATTTAGGTTGTGAACATCTTCTCTAAAAGATATTTTCTGATAGAGGTATTTAGGATGCTTAGAGTATATTACTTTATAAAATAATAAGGAGGAATGCATAAAACACCTTGTTTTCATATCAAGCCATCCCACTTCTTTTAGCTTATACGAAACGGGTTGTTGTCTTTTAATTCCGTAAGTAAAACGTAAACAATATTTTTGGATTTTTTGTATCCGTCCCGAATCAAAAGCGGTAAGGCAAGGTCCATAAACTACATTGCAATAATTAAACTTTGATAAAACTAGAGTATTACACAACAGTAGTTTGCTTTTTTGGTCTAATATATCTTTTGAGTTGTATAAGATTTTAAGATTAGTTATTGCCTTCCTACTCGTTACATGTGACTGAAATCTGAGATTGTTATCTAATATCAAGCCAAGATTTTTTGCCTCTGATTTAACTGGTATTGTTACATTGTTAATTTTAATGTCGACCATATTAGTAATATCCTTCCTATATTTTGATGAACCAAAAAGCATGGCCACACATTTATTGGGACTTAAGGTCAATGAATGATCATGAGAAATTCTATAAATATTCTTAAGATCATAGTTAATTTTGTCACAACTTTCTTTAACTAAGTGTTTCGGGAAAGAGTAAAATAGTTGAAAATCATCGGCATACATTTGTGACTTACAATAAGTTAGAAATTTAGGAAAAATTGCTGTATAAATATTAAATAATATGGGACCCAAAATTGACCCTTGTGGCACTCCTCGAGTTAGAGTGCGGCATGAGGATGACTGATTTTCCAGTTTAACAAATTGTTTTCTGTTATTGAGGTACTGTCTAAAAAAATCCACAGCTGAACTAGTTAACCCAATATGTTCTAGAATCTTAGTTAATGCTTTGTGATTCAGAGCATCAAAAGCTTTACTATAATCTAGTAATACAAGTAATGTAAATTTGTCTTCATTTATTGATCTAAATATATGATCTGTAACATTTAATAAAGCGGTAGTACAGCTATGTCCTACCCTAAATCCGGACTGTGTATCAGGCAGTATATTATTGTTTTCAATGTGATTGACCAATTGAATTTTAATTACATTTTCTAATATTTTTGATAACACAGGCAATATACTAACCGGTCGAAGGTCCGCATAGGACGAAGGGTTTACAACCTTAGGGTGAGGAATAACCTGAGCAACTTTCCAACTCGCGGGAAATACAGACTTTCTTAGGCAAAAGTTAATTATATGGCAAATATATTTTAGTATAAATGGACAGCACAGCACTAAAAAATCTATGGGAATACCATCATACCCAACCGCTTTTGATTTTATTCCAAAGAGAATCTTAGACACATCCGTTTCACTAACGTTCTGAATGTTAATAGATCAGATAATTTATTTTTAATACAACTGTAGTACTTGCTTACATCTTGAGATACATTACTACAAGGAACAGAATCAATAAAATACGAATTAATATTTTAAACATTAGAAAGATGTTCAGGAATGCTAGCGCGACTTTTTCTTTTTACTGCGTTAAGAGTTTTAAGAAACTTCCATATATCTTTACCATTACCAGAAGAAGATCTTTGCAGATATATCCGTTTTTCTTTATTAATAATTTTAGTAACAAAATTACGTAACGTTTTATAAGACTCATAATCGCCTATAAGTTTAGTTCTATTATATTTAGTTTTGGCCTTATTTCTTATTTTAATAAGCGTTTTTATATTTTCTGTTATCCATGGCCTATAATGTTTGTTAAAATTAATGACTTTTAAAGGAGCATGAATATCCATTAAAATTGTTAAATTTTCATTAAAAAATGCCACCATTTCATCGACATCTCTATAATCATACATATTACGCCATGGTATGGAACACAAGTGATCAGTCAACAGTTGGATATTAATATTTTTCAAGCTTCTGAACTGGCATGGCCTAGGTTTATTAATTTTAGTTAAAAATTCAAATATAGCGAACACCATTTCATGATCGGATAAATCGAGAGACTCTGTACCTGATCTAGACACTTTAATATGATTGGATACTATTATATGATCTATTAATGAAATTCCTGTTTTTGAAATTCTAGTAGGCTCGTTGATAATTTGATTAAGAGCAGCGCTTTCTAAAATATTATTATAAGATGACACTACTGTATTACTAGTATCAAACAAATCAATATTAAAGTCGCCCATGCAAATCACAGTATCATATTTTGGTAAAAGATCTATTAGCTCATCTTCAAAGTAATTTAGAAATTCATTAGTATTAGTGGAAGGTGGTTTATATATACAACCTAATAGAATACATACCATTGGTAGCTTTACCTCTATCCACAACGCTTCAGCATCTTGACATATTTTAGTTATTTTATATATTATGTTATTTTTTAGATAAATCGCAACTCCTCCTCCTCTCTCACCTAATCTATCCCTGCGAACCAGCGTGTATCCCGGCAGTTCGATCTCACTATCACATATATATGGTTTGAGCCAAGTTTCCGAAACAGATACAACGTCATAAGCATAGTTGCTAAAATACTCCAGAAAATCATTAAAATGAGCAGTGAGTGAACGTATATTTATATGACAAACACTAAATCCCATAATTGACATTAGATACATATTTTTGTATCTTCAGTTGGAAGGCGGGACATCTTAAATCACGCGCACTGTGCACTCTATTAGGCAATCTTAATTTTCTACAATTTGGACAGTCTAAATTAGTTTCTGCTGTACAGTCCTTCTCAGTGTGACTCATGCCACATTTGCAGCAGCATGGAGATGACTTGCAGTGTTTCGCTACATGTCCAAAAGTGCTGCAGTTATAACACATACTAATGTTATAATATTCTTGAATGTATACCTTAGTGAGGTTAAAGCTGATGTTATTATTTCTTATGAGCCATTTAAACAGAGTTGGTGAGACCTGTAATACCCAATTTTCCTTGCTAGTGTCTCTACACATTCTCTTTGTAACAAATTTTATTTGCTCACTAACTTTATCACCAAAAGTAACTTTAAATTCAGGATTTTGTTCTATTAATTCGTTTATAAACTCGCCTGGGCCCATTCCCTTTTCAATGCCCGTTACCATAACCATTGGATTTATATTTATTTTTTCTGATATCTTAAATACATTATCACGACCCAAAACTTGTTTAAACTTGGTTTTCTGTTCATTATCACGGCATTCAATAGCAACTGAGCCGTTTTTTAAATGTGTAACTTTTTTTACATACTCATTAATGTTATTTTTTATTAATCTTTGAGTAACTTCCTTTACAATGTTTTTGGTGTTTTCTTCTTCGTCTATTTTAATAATAATTTCATGCTTTTGTTGTTTCGGAGGAGTTGTCCATCCAGTAGCTGTGAATTCTTCAGTAGATCCCGTATTTTTAATTTGCGTAATTTCACTATATGTTTTTGTTTTAGGTTTCAAGACGGGCCAGTTAGAATTTATAATATGATTACTTTCTTTTTGTTCATTTTTATTACGACTTGTTTCTAATAATCCCACTTTATACGCCATTACTGTAACTAATTTGTGTATATTGAATAATTCTTTTCTTGCTTTATCTTTCTTTACGATATCATTGGTCAGACTATCATCCAGAAAGCAATGTAAAAATTCCAAGGACTCTAGAATTTTTTCTATAGGCTTCATTGATTCATTTTCTCTGTATTCGCAGTTTGAAGGTCAAGGATATCACTGACTGACTGAAAATCTGACTTAGAAGTACTTTCTGCTACATTATAATTTTCTGTCTCTCTTCTTATTTCTTCCGGTTCTTGTGCTACAATGGGTGGTGGTCATCTTGCTATTGAGATCCCACCCCCTAGGCTTAAAAACCTCTCCCTCATTTCTAAAAACTTCATTTTCCAGTATGTCATTGCTTTCATTAGTGTTTGACTTTGTTGTGCCGCCCTGTATATTGGTTACAAGAACTCCCTGTATGTTGTTGGTACTTCCATGTAAATTTTTTCCGCTATCACTTTTATTCTGCGACCGTGTTTTAATACCGTCGTTTTTGCTTTTTATTGAATGTTCAATACCCGATTGACTCTTATCTATTTTATCGGAATACACTCTTTGTTTTTCCCCAATGATATATCTGTCTTATTTATTTCACTTTGTTTACCGGCGCTACTTGCACTCATTATAATCTATTGATTTCACTCTTAAATTTATTTATTTATCGGAGCGATTTAAAACCCGTCTTTACGCTAGATAGATTAGCTAGCAACTCATGACTTCTTCATTTCTGGAAATGACTTCTTCATTTCTGGATAAACCGAACTACAGAAACTTGGAAGAATTGAGGTTTACATTTATGTTGCTTCCGACTCTGCCTGAATACCACTTTTTATCATGGATCGATGTAAACATTTTAGTTCAGAGATAGAGAATGCGAGTGGTACAAAATCACCATCATTTTCAGCATTTTCATTGTCTCTTATGCCCATATGGCTAGGAATCCGTACTAGATCTACAGTTGAGCCTTTAGATAAAGAGGAGTGAAGACAAGCAATTTAACGGCTAGAGGATGTTTTGGTTGAGGATTCGTTGAGGTTTTTTTATGCATTTAGTGAATCTGAACATATAACCTATTCGGAAGGAGTTGAAGATTATTCTTAGCGATTCCTTAATAGCAAAGTGTTCGGCACAAAGGATGCCGGTTGTAGAAAGTAAGAGATATTTATTAGATTTGGATACATTTTTATGCAATACAGGGCATCCTCCCTGTCATGCTGTTTGCTGCATGGGACAATTTGGAATCGTCCGTGTATATTATTATCTGGAGATAGATCTGAATAATACCATGAAATGATGCATTGGTCAAAGAAGGAGGTGCATTTTTTGTCTAATTTTATGAGTGTATTGTTCATTGATGGAGTAATAATTAATTCCCAAGAAGAGGTTTCGAAGTGGCATGCATTCAGGAATAGTGAAGTTATGATCTATGAAAAAACTAGAAAAACTGCCTTGGACTATCGGATCTAGAATCTAGTATAATGTTTGAAGGAACTATACTTTGGGATAAATAATAGTGTGAATTTAAGTGATGGCGTATTGAAAAAGTAAATTGAGTCAATGGTGTTTAAGAGGCATTATTCTTAAGACAAGAATCCATGCAATATAAGCAGTATATAATTTTTTTATAACTATACAAAAAAAACAGCCGTGATTAGTGCTCCTGACTCCTGGCAAGTGTATGACAATAAGTGCCGTATAATAGGCGCAGTACGTAATACGCGAACACTCCAGTAAGATACCAGCTGGTACTGAATAAGCTGTAATTTTGTCATTTAAAGCTGCGTACTCACTAGAGCATTTTGCTTTGAATGAACCAAACGAGCAGAGCCGAATTCGGCAAGTGAATACGTGTTCGCGAGCAAAATTTCGATAGCCGAACCGAGCGCGCCAAACATTTTCGCCGACTTGTTGGTACATGCATTTTGCTCAAAGGGTATGCGTTGTTCAGTGGGTACGGAGGTTCGTTGCGTTCATGGTGTTCGTCCTATTCGGAGCATTCGCGGCTAAAAATTTTCATTGTTTTGATTTTTCTTTCCTCAAGCGAAATGGTGTGGAATAGGGAAAAGTGCCTTCAATTAATAGACATTTATGAACAATATCCAGTGCTTTGGAATCCAAAAGATGGATTATACTATAATAAAGTTAAGAAGTTTGATGCGTGGAGGCAGATAGATGAGATAATGGGATGTGCTTCTGGAGAAGCAGAGAAAAAAATTGAAAGACTTCTGGCAAGTTTTAGAAGGGAGAAGGCGAAAGGAAAAAAATCTATTAGAACGGGAAAAGGTACATTTAAAAACTTCTTGCCCATAATTTTCTTGGTGTTTTCTTCTTTTCCCTATTGGTAATGTTTTGTATAACGAAAAAAGCACCAGCAGCGATAATAGCATCTTCCGGGTCCATTAACACACTCGATGCAGAACGGTGAGCCTAGAGATTCAAAGCGCAAATACAAACTAAATACAACTGAACGTGGGAACACAGCGACCGCAACAAGCACCTCTGAACATCGCGATCTTTTCCGTATTGAGTTCGTTCGTGCGCGCTCGGCTCGCTTGGTTTGTTCGGACCAAAATGCTCTAGTGAGTACGCACCTTAATATATTCAAATGCTTCGTCTTGTATTTAAGAAGTAGGTCTAGTGATGTTGGTTTAGTCTTCAGGAACTAGTAAAACATACAAGTCGAAATATCATGTAGAATGTCTATTTAATCTAGGGTGTTGTTTGATAAAAAAAATTTCTGTACCTATGTGGCGGATTTATCTCTCCAAAAACGAACAAAAAAATGCTTAACGTTTCGAAAATTTTATCTCTTTCCGTCGTAGAAAGCAAAAAAATACAAAGAATAAAGAAAAAAACTATTTAAAATATTTAGATGCAACTATTCGAGAACACTTTAGTTTTTTTAATACAGATACGTCTTCAAAAAACCGTTGACGTTCTGTAAAAATGACATTATATCAAGTTAAACTTCAAAATTAACAATTACTACCTGATAACAATTACTTAATAAGTCTTAATCAAACCAAACCAAACCAAACCAAAAAGCCTCAAACTTTCTGTATTATTATTTTTAATATGTTTTTAATTTTTACGTATGTTATATTTATTTATGTTATGTTCTTTAAAATCAAAGAAGCGATTGCCTGAGCGACTGCCATACATTACTAACATCTACAAAATAATGCATGAGCAATAGGTACACTCATTTTTATTAGATTGTATTAAAAAAATCTCTTATTTTTCTTTTAGAGGCTATCGCTTCTTTCATTATAATTTTGGCGTCGTTTTTTGATGCTCTAAGGAACAAAGATGTTTCTAATGTCCGCCATCTATTTTAAAAAGCCAACCGAAATAGTTTCGGAAACGGTTCGTGACATTAAGATTAACATCTTTCGAGGGTCCCTCTCTCCTTCTCACAGTTCATTGAGAAATATTTTCGGGCGAACGACGTTATTCTTTTAATGAAGCGGGCGAGCGATCTGGCGAGATAACGAATCGTAAACATAAATGACGAATAGGAATGACAAAATATTAGGCAAGGCCGTCTTCGGGTTATAGAGTTACGAAAATATCGGTTACAGACGTGAGGGTGGTATGTTATTTGTATTCACAAATTTGTTAAATGATTAAATACCCTAAAATCTATCTAATTCGCGGTAGAGAGCGAAGACGATCTCCCGCATGTACTTGTGATGTGTGTCATCAGTGTTCAAAGACATTTTATCGCTAAATCCGAAATGCACTATTTGAGCTGTCTTAAACAAATGTACTCCAGTGTATAGGCAAGTGAACCCTGAGGTTACAGCTTGATTGTTATTGCATTATATGTAAATAAATATATTGTAGCTTTCTCTGGGAGATAATTTTTAACCTTTTCAAACTTTACATGGGATTTCCTATGTCCCGTGTTCCGATGCACCACACGGTATGTTTAATTCAGTAGGAAAATAGCCATTTTTTGTCATCTATCTTCTCCTTTAAAACAAATAATTATATACATACATAAACATTGGTCCAAAAATTAATGGTCAATGCTCATCGAGCACCGAGCGCGTCCCTCTCTCTACCT